CCTCCAGGGAGTCACTCAAGAAACGTGGTTATTGATCCCCAAAGAAGACCTTAATTTGGATCGAAAATATCTCCTTGGTATAGGAGATCCGAACAACTATATATATATAGAACATAGATCCTTGGGCCTAGTGCAGTAACCAGGAAGAGGAAGTCCTCCAGTGGTATCATAGAATATCTCAGGAAAGAGAGGAGATTATAGAAGAGACCATAGAGAAAAGACGGAGGCATTTCCCAGTTGCGACTTATTCAGCTTTTTCTTTGATTGTGACTTGCTTAAATAACTTAATAGCTATATTTTGGGGGACTTTTGGCTGTTCTCTTGCTCTTTGGTGTTTCTGAAGTGGAGTGGAGAGGTAAAGCTTTTAATTTGAGACCTGAGTATATTTTATTTTTTGAACAATATAAAGTGGACCTTATTTTCTCTATATATATTCTCCACTTCTGGGGCTAGGGGAGTTAATAATAAGAGTTAATAGGATTGGCTAAAAAATTTCCCTTGTTTGCCATTTTATTGTTATGAAATTATCTTTGAGTATGTTTTGAATTGTCTTGAAAAGGATATTGCTTATTGAAATATAAAAATTTGGGAAAACTTTTCTTTAATGGCTTTTAGCTGGAATTTTTTTGGTGATATAGTTTTGGATTGTTGTGTAGAATTGGAATTTAATAGTTAAGTTTTTGCTCTAACCCACTCCATATTCCAGGTGAAATTTCATATGATATTTTGAATTGGTAATACAGAACCTCCTATTTATTGTAATAGAGTGTTAAGGGGTGACTTGATTTTCCTCTCTCTCTCTTCTAGTGTTAAAATATATTTGGATTTTACGGTTTTTGAATATGATGTCCAGAAATCAACTAGCCAAGGCACAGAATCAATCTCAACTTCCCAGATGGGCCTCAATAGAACAGGCTAAAAACTTTGATACCAACTCTAATCTCCTAGATGAAATAAGGAAATGCATCAAACAGGAGATGCAAGATTTTAGGACAGAAATTAGGCATGAAATTAGAGCAGAATTACAGGAGATAACTCATACAATCGACAAAATAACAAATGAATTTACATCAGCAAATCATAGAATTGCGAATCTGGAATATAAAGAAGAAAGGTTAGCAGAGGAATTAGAAGATGTCAGGAGACTAAGAGAAAAAGATTTGGATGATAAGGCTATATGGGATCAAAAATTGAGGGGAAAATATATTAAAATTTGAGGTCTCCCTGAAAATAAAAATGAAAATTTAATGGAATAGTTAGTCCCCAAATTGGCAACGTTCCTTAATAAAGATAAAGACTCTTTCCAGATAGAAGTGGACAGGATTTTTCGACTTAATTCCTTAACTGCAAAAAAGAAAAATATACCAAGAGATATCGTAGTATATTTAGTAAGGAGACAGATAAGAAACCTGATTCTGAAGCTGCATAATGAATCCCCTCTAACTCTTGATGGTATCCAGATGCAAACCTTAAAAGATGTGCCCACTAGAATACTCCGGAAGAGGAAAGAATATTCTTTTTGACTGTCTTTTTGAGACAACAATGTGTCCCTTATAGATCATAGAATCATAGAATCATAGAGTTGGAAGAGACCACA